GCACGCCCCCACCCCGTCCCCAGGCCGCCGCCCCACCTGGGACTTCTCCACGGAGGCGGTGTGCTTGTCACACATGGGGCTGATCTCCATCCCCTTCTCCCGCTCCCGGTCTCCCTGGTGGAAGAACTCCACCATGATGCGGTCGGTCCACTGCCGGTACAGCTCCAGGGGCTTCGTGGGGTTGCTGAGGTCGGCGCAGTGCACCATGCTCTGCAGGACCTGTGGGCACAGCCACGGTGTCCTTTGTCCCCCAGGACCACCCCCACACTGTGCCAGGAACCCTTGGCCATGCCCGGCTGTGGTTGGGAGCCACCAGGCAGGACGTGCCCGCAGCCCAGAGCAATGCCCAACGTCCGCAGTGCCAGGAAGGATTCCCAGCCGTGTCCCCCTGCCCACCTGGATCCGGTCAGAGTAGTTGTCCAGCAGCAGCACCCCCAGGCTGGTCACCTTCTTGGTCTCCACCATGGTCTTCAGATCCGCCAGCAGGTTCATGTGCTTGGACATGTCCGTGGCCAACACCTGGGCAGGGCAAGCCGGGAATGGGGCTCAGCCTGACCCCCCCCAGCCTGGACCCCCACCCTGGGGTGGTCCAGCCCCCTCATACCATGTCGATGACCATTTTTCGGAGTGTCTGCCTCTGCTTCCTGCTCAGGTTCTGGAAGATGTCGCAGTTCTCCTCCTGGAGGAGCTTGAAGCCCACGGCCAGGTGGTGGTTCTCCAGCACCGAGGCGTCGTTGTACATCAGCGCCAGCTCCGAGTCTGTGAGAGGGCACCGGTCACCCTGGGGAGACCCCAGGTGGGGTCCTCCACACCCCCCCAGCTCCATCCCTGCTCCCCAGCTCACTGGTGTTGATGAGGAACTGGTTGGAGACGCCGGGGTGGTCGACGTCGTGGATGGCGCTGGCGAAGATGGCAGCCATGATCTCCAGGTCCGTGAAGACAGCCTAGGAATGGTGTGAGAAGGAGTTGCGGGCGTGTTACAACCCTGCCAGACACACCCGGTGGCCTCAGGAGACCAATAATCACCTCCAGGGCAGGCGTGGAGAGGAGGACGTGGGTGGACTGCGCCACGTCGGCGGCGTGGAGGTTGTTGTGATAGGCCACGTCGGCATGGTAATGGTCCTCCAGCGTCAGCATGTAGGTGATGAAGGTGTTGACGGGGATGCGGAAGGTCTTCATCAGGTCACGCTCCTGCAGGGAGGCGGGAGGTGGCTCGTCCCCATCCGGGCACGGGGACAGGGCCATCCCAGCGGGATGCTCACCTGGAAGATGCTGTACATGATGACGGTCAGCGGGCGGTTCCCCGAGTACTCGGCGACTTTAAACACGTTGAGCCCCCACTTGTTGGTGTCCTCCAGCTCCTGGGGACCAGAGGGACGGAGGTCCGTGGAGGGGCTGGCGCCAGGGACCCTGTGGTCGGGTGGGTCACCCGTGCCAAGCCCACCTTGGCCAGCAGCCCCTCGTGGTCCGTGCGCACCCCGAAGCGGGGGATGCCGGCGGCGGCGAGGCTGGAGCTGTGCGTGAGCTTCCTGACGCCGCTGATCTGGGACATGGGGCGCTTCCTCCGCTCCTTCTCCTTGTCCTTGGCCAGCGCCGAGGGGATCTCCACCTCGTGCTGCTTGTCTGGGATGGCACCGGGGTGGGCGTGAGCAGGGGGGGAGCCCAAATTCCCCCCCAAATTCCTCCCTGGCTCGC